GGCCTTGCCCTCCTCCAAAAGGCCCTCATTCGCAGCCACGAGCTCATTCTCGAGGTCCTCCTGCTCCTCCAAAAGGCCCTCATTATTGTTGAACCTTGAGGCCAAAAGCTGCTCGGTCAAGGATTGGCCTTCCTCCAAAAGGCCCTCATTGTTGAACCTTGAGGCCAAAAGCTCCTCGGTCAAGGCCTTGCACTCCTTCTCTGCGTAGTAGTGCTTGCCCTTCCAGCTCTTTCTTCGAAGCTCCGAGGAAGTGAGCTCTGACTCTCTGGTTCTGAGCTCCGCCTCTGACTCGAGCCGCCGCTGCTCACTTTCTCGGAGCTCCGACGAAGTCTCCAGGAGGCGAGCCTCGCACTCCTCCGCCTCTCGGAGCGCTCGCAACTCTGAGCCCTTCATCGCCACCCACTCCGGCCGCCAGTCCTGCCTCCTCTGCTGGCTCCAGCCCCGGTTTTGGCGCTCCCAGAGCTCCTCCTCATCATCCTCCCAGTACAGGCCTTTCTTGCCTTTATTGTACCCAGGCCCATACCCACCATAGTAGCCGCCACGGCCTCCTTTACCATAGCCACCTTTCCCCATAGCTGCCTTCGGACTACTTTCGGCAAGGCCTTGCCCGTGTTTTCAGTGCTAGTAGTCGCTATTCTTAGTACTAGGCGTCGGTACTTTGTATTGCTGCCTTCGGACTACTTTCGGCAAGGCCTTGCCAGTGTTCTGAGTGCTAGTAGTTCCTATGCTTAGTAGTAGGTGTCGGTGCTTTGTGTTGCAGAGCAATTTCCACAAGCTGCACCTAATGACGTCACCTTATTGGTAGTTCTAAGAAAGCTACGAAGCTGTGCATCAACACTGGGATCTATTGGCTTATCAATTATCATCTATGAATTATGAATTGTTTGAGGGGTTGTGTTTGGCCGAAGCACGCACATTCCCGGCTGTGATGGTATTGAGGACTCTCATGACATGATAAGGCGACCGAAGCTTGACACACAGGCCGTCGCATGATCAGTGTCACATTAACTGGCAAACTTGAACAGAAAAAACACTCCAGTGCTACCGCATGTGAACAGCTCTCCTGCATGCCAGCGTGACAAAAACCGGAGCTTTCTCCCTCTCAGGCTTCGGCTTCGGTGTGCACCTCTTCAATCTCGGGATGTCCCGGCCTGAGACCACGGACTTTGTGGAATTCATCACAGTTGTCACAGATTGACGTGCAACACTTTGTATTCCTTGCAGACTTGTACTGTCTATTCGATATGTCTCGCAAACCCAGGTTTGCGAGACATCCTCATGGTTTTCGAGACAACACGTGACGACCTTAGGCTTCAGATGCGAACGATAGTATTGGAAAAGACATCTCCACACGACGCTGAATGATATAGACAACTCCACACTTCTTTTTGAGTCCCTCGTGTGTCTCGATCCTTCTGGCTCCCCCGGCCTGAGGCGGAATGCAGCTGAAAGCATCGGGCGGCCTGCCAAGCCAAACATCGCCAGGACTGGGTCGCTCGCATCAAGAGCTGAGAAACACTGCCAAACCCCCAAACGGTTCAGGGTGTATGGATCAAGACGTTTTAGGGTTTGGATGGGTGCTGGGGATTTTGAAGCAATGTGTTTATGCAAACCCTGCCTGAACCCCTGAATACCGAAACCCAGAACCCTTAATTAAATGGCTCCTTATCAAATCTTCAGAGCACCATGTCTTCACCTGGACCCCCCTAAACCTCAAACTCCGACCATCAGGGTTTCGAGCTTGACTTTGATTTATGACAGCTGGGTTCGGGTGTCAGGGCGAAACCTCGGCCCTAAATCCTGCCTCTGAGTCTGGGTTGCCTGGGATGTCGAAATTGCTCCTGCGTGCCGCAACACTTTATGAGGTCCGAGCATTTTGCTCCGAGCGCAGATTCATAGAAGCAATTGCGCCGAGTGTTCAGCCTATACATTCAGATTCAGTCAAGCAGCAAACCCGCAAGCCCGAGATCCTAAATTTAAGCCTCGACTGTTGCTGCTGGCCTGGAACATGCTGGGTTTCCGGAGCTGGGGCGGCGATGCCTCTCGGAGGGAGAGCAAGCGTGAGGCCACTGAAAGCTCAGCCCATGGTCATGTGTCGTCCCGGTTCCACAATGCCAAGCGCATCAAGACTGGGGGTGACGGTGACACTGTCAAGACTGGGGGGGACAGTGACGGTGAGGCCGTTGCCATCGACATAGACGAGGCTGGCTCTCAGACCGACGATGACGACATCTCTCATGTGGCGAGCTGCTCTGATGTTATCGCATGTCCCCGATGCTTCTATCTCCGAAAGAAGGACCGAAACGCTGCAAGCATTTTGTGATTCAGGCATTTATTCAATCGTCACCTGACTCAGCATGAAAAATAGGTAATAGTGAAGTTGCTGCGCGAGGAGGTCTTGGAAAGCCACTGCACCGTGCCGCACTTTCCTGGGTTCTCTTGGCTGGCGGCGCGTGTTGTTCCTAAGACTGGCTGGGGCCTGGGATGTCTTGTCTGCGAAGCAGCGAAGCAATCATCAAGTTTTGCTAGATTCGAAGTTCGAACAACGCTGCTTGGCAACTTGAAGAAGCATGGAGACACCGATCAGCACAAAGAAGCTTTGAAGACCCTGGGCTTAGTGCACAATGAGAAGGTGCGTCGTGCAGAAGCTCCTTCCCCGGAAGAGTTTGAACTTGTGCTTCAGCATCGACGTGGCTGCACATCCCTCAGCTTGCCTCTCCATGCCGTCGGCCGTCGCTTCAAGATCGAGAAAATGCAGTGGTGCTTGGCAGAGGCCGGCAGGGAGATGACAAGAGAGTATCTGAGGCAAGTAGCCTCGCTGGCTATCGCTCAAGATGCACGCAAGAACAAGCTGCTTGTGAGGTTCAGCGCATGCAGCGAGAAACTTCGGCATTGCAAAGGAGTGCTCGGGCATGAGTATGTCAAAGACGGCCACTATGCACAGAACATCAATTCGACGCTGGACGCAATTCTGCATCGTTTTTGCACGGTGGGTGCTGGAGGTCCGGGCCCGACGTCTTTAGACACGGATCTCTTGGCGCGCCTACAAGAGCGTATAGAGATTTATTGCGCCGATGCCGCGTCGAATGAATTCTGTGCTGGGCGACTTGCCCGCAGCGACCTGCTACCAAATCTCCTGACTCCTGAAGGACAAGTCGCATGCCAGTGTCAGGCCAGTTTAATATGTGGTTCAGATTCGTTGTGGGTTCGTGGTCAGGCTAAGGCTTGGAAGTTCAGATCTAGTTTAGATCGCACTTCGTAGTTGTTTTTGCCCTGCACGCAGGGTCCTTAAAAGACCCTGGGCAGCCGATCCGGAGATGACTCTTGTTATGGACACTGTCATCCTCCAGCACAGTTCCATCACCCAGCGAATCGACCACTCGGACACGTTTTCGGATGTGTTCGCTCGGTTTTGTGCTAAATCCTCAGATGTACCGGTGGACGGGGCCAGGATTCACAACATGCGAGGGCAGAAAAACAGGTTTGCCTCGTACAGCAAACCGCTGGGGCGGGCGTGTATCTTTCTAGATGCACTCATCTCCACCGCCTGCTGGATATGTGTTCAGCGGCGGGGTGAGGAACAGGGCCGCGACGCAGGAGACTTCTTAACCTTCCTCAACGAGGAGAAGGCGATTCTGATGGCTATGATGAGTGACGCTGCCTCTGCATGCGTTGGCCTGACAAGGTCCCTGGACACAGAAGACTACGATGCGGCCACCCTCAACTGGGAGATTAGCTCGCTCGTGCAGACACTTCATTTCTTATTCATCGAAGGGTCTGTTGTTGAGCATGGATACACGAAGCAAATGCTCCTGTACTTGCGTCGGCAGCGAGCCTATATGGATGGACATGACAGGCCTAGGTGCTTGGGTGGCCCGGGCACTGTCTCGGCCGACATGCTGCAGCGCTGCATCGACAGACTGCAGATCTTTGTCAACTTGGCATGTGGCCGAGCTCTGTGTTAAGCCTCATTCTAAAATGTTTCGGTGCGGCCGCATTGGGAAACCCGACTAGAAGCTCGAGTTCGGTTTAAGCTTTGGACAGGGTCTGGAAAAGTCAAGGTGAGACTTTGAGGGCCGAATTTCCCGACTTCGATGTGCTCTCGAGTTTTGCCATCTTCGATCTGGATACGAAAACCATGAAAAGCTCAGAGGCCTTTGCCGACCGAACTCAATCCATGGCTCGCTTGGCACAGATCTTGAAGGCCTTGCCGCCGCATGAGGTCTACGTGCTTAGGTGCTGATAGAATTACAATGTGCCCTCAGCTAATTCAGATTTGGACTTGTTGGGGCCAGCCCTGCAGGTGGATGAGGATTCTTTGCGGGCTGAGTTTGTGGATGTTCGTCCCATGGCGATGTATGAACACCGCAAAGGTTGCTCAAATGTGGATGCTTGGGTTCAGACTATCTTGCGACTGGAGCGCAAACAGGCTACTGTGCGGGAGAACCACCCCACTGCCACTCTGCGCCAAGTTGTGCAACGGTACGCGGCTTTCAGTGGCTTGACCACCTCCGGGGTCGAGCAAGGTTTCAGCCAGATTCAGAGGCACTGCACACCGGAGAGGCCGGGGGGACACGCTCATGTCCCATGCCAAGACTTCACTAAGAAAAATTGTTTTGGCAGCCACCCCTCGCAGGAATCACATGTTGTTGGAGACAGAACTGGACGAGACTGTTTTGCAGTTGCCGCAAACGGTGTTCTCAGATCACGAAATCACACGGAGGGCTGTGGATGTCTGGCTGAAATACTTCAATCCGCCGCGAGCCAGACCGACGACTACCCAGAGGATCGACGCTGGGGTCCCCAAGATGAAGGGCGTGAAGGAGACTGACACGCGTGTAAGTATGTTTCGTTAATGTGGTTCCTGAGGTGCGTCGGTTATGTTGACAACCGTTAGAGTCACTCGGTTCAGGTTGGAGCCGAAACCGCGTGGAAGGCTGCGGAGAGCAAGAGGCTTTCAGAGTCCGTGCAGCAGCGGCCGGAGGTATCGATTGAGGAAGTTCAGAGCTTGGCCCGCAGCATGACTTCCCACCTCATGTGTGACAAAGTACTTGCGGAGGAGGCTTTTCAAAAAACCAAGCAGTACAAGAACAAACTCGTCGCCTACTTGGACAATGCCTTGCTGCATGAAAGCGAGGTCGATGAAGATTGTGTGCAAGTGGCAGAAGCTTTTAAGGATGCTCAGCAGAAAGAGGATGCCAAAAATGGCCGATTGAGAAAGAGACGTGCAGACCTCCTGAACCCAGCCCGAGTGCCGGATCCGTGCACGAAGCATGTCTACTATGCGCCCGGAGTGGCCCCTCCGAACTTGGATTGCCTTGTGGGAGACCCAGAGCATGCCGATTTCATTGTTGAGAAGGACCCATCCGATCCACATGACGAGTGTTATTGGTGCGCTTTCGTGCTTGGGACGTCTATCTGCAACGACGAGTTCATTCGACGACATGGGCAGCAAGGTGTCTGCTTTAACTTTACTCCGGCGATGAAAAGCAAGCGGCAGCTCTTTGTCAGCGCGGGGTTTGGCAGAGAGCATCCCCGGTTGGCAGAGGTGATTTGCTTGTTCCCATCACGGCAGCAAGTGGCGAGAGCTGGCCAGTCTGGAGGCTTTTGCAGAGGCCAGCA